TTTGGAAAAGGGTCTCTTGCCCAAATAGTTTTCGAATTACTGGTCTAAAGTTTTCGTAAAACATTGAGCTATGAAACTGTAATGAAAATTGTTGAAATGAGCAATTTGCATTAGAATGAAAAGAAAGATAAGAATGAAATATTGGTGTTTAAAAATAATAATTTGTGCAACAAAAGTTAGTATGATGGCTATTACAGTATATTTCTTCTACGATCCATTCAAGAAAATCTACAAATTTTAAAAATTATTTTAAGTTAGTAAGATAAAATAACTAATTTAAAAACAATTTATGACTTTTATTAATTTATAAAATAAACTTGAAAAATAAATATTTTATTTAATCAGTCTTTAATCCTATCGAGACTAATTTTTTAGTTATAATATTTATAATTAAATTGAATTTATACAGGGTGGCTCCTAAGTTGATACTTTTTACTTTCCAGTCTGTATACAGATAATAAAACTATAAACATCAAGATTTTTTTAAACGGATTTTTACGTTTTGGGGTAACCTGAATCCATTTTGACTATTTTCGCGATGATGTCTGTTTGTGTGTATGCGTGCCTGTATCTGTATATTCTGTATACTCAATAACTCATGAACGGATAAACAGAAAAACACCAAATTTTAAACTAAAGCTTTAATCATTCCTACCATGAGCTGATTAGATTTTGAGCATAATCAAAACATCTGGGGGGGTACTTTATAGGGGATTGTTTTTCTATTTTATGAAATATATCTGTTATTTACGCTTGGAGAAAAAAATTGTTCTTACTAGTGATGTTATTTTCCATAATTTTTGTCCTATACATAATTTTCCTAAAATGATCTGTACCTGTTCGAAGAATTCGACAAAAATTGCAAAATTAGAATTTTTAAGTAAATTTTTCAAATAAAAGTTGTTAGTGATGATGTCTTTTCCTATAATTATTATCCCATACATGATTTTACTAAAATGGACTGTATTCCAGATAATTGATGGAAAAGTGCAAACTTCCAATTTTAAACTTAAATTTTGGTCATTGTCGAAGCATCTGGGGGTACTTATAGGGTTTTTATAATCTAATATAGGTAAAGACAAAATAGTTCAGCACTATTTTCTCTTCTGTTTGTTAACCGATTTTCATTCATTAGCTATGAACGCAAGATTACGATATTCTCAATTTTTCAAATGCAATCCTCTAGATGTTATACCATTTTCTCTATATTTATTTTGTTTGGCTTTTCCTATATCCAAACGCATTTTTTTCAAGAGTTTGATGGTTTTATTATAAAAATGTACATATTTTTTTAAAATTTTTCCAATTGACTTTTGAAAATATGGAGATGGACTATGGTAAAATGCTAATTTAATTTTTAACAGCCCATTTTTTAGAAATATTGGATGGTTTGCTATTCCTCTGACGTCTATCTATCCATCCATCATCGTAAATAAAATTAAAAAAAAATCAAAAAAATAGTTTTTTGAAATGCCAGGCAAAATAAAATCGATAAATTGATAATATAACATATAGTATTATATTTAGAAAACTTGAGAATATCGCAACCTCGTGTTTTGACACCCTATATACATCATAGCAAATGAATGAAAATGCAAAACATTTTTAGGAAAGCCTATTAAAATTATTTGACGATGTGAAAACTATCAAATGTCTTATGAGTAATTACAAATAAGGTGTTTGGCTTAAAAAATTATAAGTTTGGTTCGCCATTAATTTATGCACTACTCTGTATAGATATTCAAGAATCATTTTAAAATAGTCGTAAACTTTTGTATTCAAAATTTCTTCCTATCCAATAATAAAACGGCTATCGATCAGATAATAAATTAACATGTATCATTGGATAGGTAAATTTATTACGAATTTAATGCTAAAATAATATACCTACAGGTAGTTGCATTTAAAAACAGTAAGTAAATTGAACTTAAAATGGGCCATATTTTCAAAACACTCTGTATAAAATAAACCAGTTCTAGCATCACCATTTGTTAGATTGATACCTTCATAGGTTTTCAATTTAGACAATTTTGAAATCATTACTGATCTACCTAAATTTAGATAATTTTATTTCTCCAATATCACAAAAGAAAAATAATTGCTTGGCTAATCCTGTAATATTTTTCAAAAATATTCTAGAGTTGAATATAGTATTACTAACATTCTAAATCTGCAATACAACACAGGGTATTCCATTTAAAAATAGGCATTTTTATTTGCCAGGTAAATGCGTAACACCCTGTACCTATATCCAAAAATATTTTTAAAGTATGCCTTTTTCAAATCCATATAACTTTTTTTAAATCTTCCTTGCGTGACTATTACAATTAAAAATCGAAATATCGAGGAATTATACACTAATATGCTTTCTTAAATCTAATATTTTTTCAAGTGCATTTTTTTACCTTTAAAAACTTATTTCAGTGCGCTGAGTATGGCCCAAGTCCGGCACTGATACATGTACCTACTTATAGTATTAATTATAAATATTAGTTTATTTGTAAATTATATTTTTCATTGTTATTTAAAATGTCTATTTTTAATTCAAATTTAAAATTTATCTTGATTAATTAGATACTTACGGTCGACCTGATCATTTTTAAACAACACTCTCACTCTCTCACTAACACACGGACAACTAAATTAGACTCGGCGAGAGAAATAACAACTGGAACCTTGAAAACTCGTTTCACGAGCGGTGATAAGAATAATTTATATTTTATTTTAGTGCACCAATAATTTTTAGTGATTTGAAAATTCAACCAAAATTTGTATGAACTAATGTTGTGTTTCTCAAACTTTTTTGGCGACGGAACCCTTTTGAAAAGCGAAATATTTGACGGAGCCCTAATTTTACTTTGCAATATGTAGGTATAAAAAAAAATTTGACGATTTAGGAAGTAAAATTTGAAAAACAATTTGCAAAGTGAAAATGAAAAATTAATAATCTCCAAAGATAACCACAATATTTTATAAATCACAAGTAGGTATTTTGCGCTCGTAAATTTACAAAGTGCAAAGTTGCAAAGTAGTTTTATGAAATAGGCCCCAGGTCCTCTCCCTTTTGTGGCAGCGATCTTCCTCATAGTATTGTTTTTTATTAAGACTATTATTTTTGCGGAGCCCCTACAGAGGCTTTGTGGAGCCCCAGAAGTCCGCTGAGCACATTTTGAGAAACACTGAACTAAAGGTATTTATTGTGTAATGAAATTAAAAGTGTAGATAACATTTTGTATGTATACATAGAGTCCCAAGAGTAACGGGTAACGGATACCTACTATTAATAAAACCTCGATGATTTTTTCGCAAAAATACCTTAATAGGACATGTTCAAAAATTTTGAAATGTTTTATGAATAATGCAGTTCAAATTAAAGCCACATTTAATTTTTTTTTATCTATTCATTTACCTGAGTTATTCATTTTTTTAAATTTATGATGTCCCCGGGAATAGACCAATAGGAACTAGCCACACAACGTTGCCAGTTAGACGGTATACGAAAAGTAATATACGTTCGTTTGTGTGCACCGTTTTATATATAAAATATCAAATGTTTTTAAAAGTATTATTTATGTTTAATCTTTCACCATTTTTATAGCTTCATTGTTTTAAAAAAAATCTGATGTGTCCAACACATGACTTTCCTATCTAGTTATTATACGTAGGCTTTTTCCGGTTATTTTGTACAACCTATTGCAGCATCTCTATAAATGTTTAGAGGATAAACTAAATATATACATTTTCCACATACATCTACCTCGAAACATTTTTCTATAGATATTCATTGAAAACGAAAATACTAAAAATTTAAATTTAGCACTTTTCCATTACGGTCCATTTTAGAAAAATCATGTATAAACAAAAATTATAGAGATCGATATCGCAAACAACTTTAAGTTCAACAATTTTCATAAAAATCAGAATTTTGCACATTTTGTCAAATTTCTCGAATACGGACCATTTCAGGAAATTTTGACATAAAACAAAAATTATAGATAATAATATTAGAAGTAACTTTTATTTGAACAATTTTCTTCTCCAAACATAAATAACAGATATATTCCATAGAATATAAAAACGGCCTCCCATAAAGTACCCCCCTAGATGTTCCGACTTTGTCCAAAATCTAATCATTTCACGTCAGGCCGAAATAAAACTTAAGTTTAAAATTTAATGTTTTTTTCTTTATCCGTTTTTGAGTTTTCTTCAAATTTAAATATCTCGAATACGGTCCATTTTAGAGAAATTATGTATGAGATAAAAATTATAGAGAATTATATTACAAACAACTTTTATTTGAACAATTTTTATAAAAAATATGTTTTTTACATTTTGTCAAATTTCTCGAATACGGACCATTTTAGGAAAATTTTGTATAAAACAAAAATTATAGATAATTATATTAGAAGTAACTTTTATTTGAAGAATTTTCTTCTCCTAACGTAAATAACAGATATATTACATAAAATATAAAAATGACCACCCATAAAGTACCCCCCCAGATGTTCCGACTCTGCCCAAAATCTAATCAGTTCATTAGACACTGGAATAAAGCTTAAGTTTAAAATTTGGTGTTTTTCTGTGTATCGGTTCATGAGTTATGCGACCTACAGACACACAGACACACACACAGAAAATAGTCAAAACGGATTCAGGGGACCTCAAAACGTAAAAATCCGTCGAAAACTCGAGGTCGAAAAGTCGAGGTCGAAAAAAATCATGATTCCTATAGGTACTTTCCTTATAATCTGTATACAGATAGGAAAGTAAAAATTATTTTAATCCTGACTTATATGCAACACACATTACACTCAAAGTGTATTGTATTTTAATTAATATTTTATTGCTAGGTATATAATTTTAAACTTTTAGTAAAATGTAATAATTTATTTTTAAAGCCTAATGATTTTTGCAACAATAATGTTTTAAATTATTATTACAAAAATAATCAGGTCATTTTGTAGCATTTAAACCCGATTTGAACAACTTCCTTCGGCTGGGAGCGTGGCGCCTCCTGTAATCGAGCTACTTCGAGGTCGGATTCAGCGGATGGTTTGAGGTCGGGAGATCTGGTGCAGGGTTTCTTACGTTGACCGGGTGTCCACACTAAGCACGGCGTTCAATATGGGCGTCCTGAAGGAGTTTGGGACGGCCAGGTTAGCCAAGGAGGGGCGAACCGGGCCAGGGGGGAAACCCAGCAGCCAAAAGTCCCCGCGTCGTGCAGTAGTGGGATCGCGCCTGGGAGTAAGAGTCTTGTCTCAGCCCGACCAATATAGCTAGACCTGGATCCTTTTTGGCTTTTTTTTTTAAATACTTTTATTTTTTTATATTCTATCAACATTTTTAAATAGAAAAATCGCCTGTAATAGAAATTAAAAAAATTGAAGCAACGATTTTGTATCGGTAGAGTAGAGTAAATAGAGGTCGCCATTTTTAGTCCAATTTCACAAAATATTTTAAATTAAAAACAATAGATTAGTGTTAAACTAATTTTTAAGATAAATACTAAAAGTGGTGATTACTACTGCTTTTAGTTGTTTATAAAAAGATAAAGACGAAATACAGGGGCAGGGCAGGATTATCCTCGACAATCGCTAAAAAACGAACCGTTTTCGAAAGTGGTGGTTGAAATAAGAGTAGTTTTTGAAATTTATATTCTTAACTGGCGTTCAATGAACATTCGTTTTTTTTACGTGTACGTTTTTAACAAACAAATATAATATGTCTGGCATTACTGTAAACTATATCGTTGAATTCATGTAATGTGCAGGCCATAGAAAATATGGATTATGTAATTAATTACAACAAACCAATTGTAAATTTATCGAATGATGATTTTTTCTAATCACATAATATATAAATGATCAGGATAAACTGAATCGTTAAATTTTTGGTGAAAAAGTAGCTATACGGGTGAAGTCAATGTGACCTATATTCCAGGAAAATCGTACACGTCATAAAAAACCTAGTTTTTATGGTACAAAATTAATTTAAATAATAACTTTACTTATCTCATTCAGTTCTTTAATATTTTGTGGCAATTTTACGAAATTGTTAAAATTTTTGGACACATAACGTGTGATACAGAAGAGCTTTCAACTACCACTTGCAAGAAACTGCAAGCAAATTAATCTGTAAATAAAATATACTTGAATAAATAATTAAATTCTGACACGGTAAGATATAAACAATATTCATTCAATATCAATGAAGTGGAGAGGGGTAGAATGATAACTGTCAATGAAAAAGTCTAGACACTATGCACAATTTCGTTTTGCACATTTTGTAAACAAGATTCAGGGACGGTTTAACAACATTTTGTGCAACAATTATAAAATAATGCATCGGAAAATAATTAACAGGTATAATTTAATACTAAATTGAAATAAAAGCACAAATATACGCAAGATAACAAAGAATTGACGCCAAAAAAGCTTACAACAGCCACAAAACAAACAAAAAACGGAGCTGAACATGAACATAATCGCTGAACAGAGCCAATCCTGGAATTTGTTTACAGTGCTTTAGGGCAACATATCCTTGTCATTTACATGTATAAGAGTGGAAGGTTGAATCACCCATAATTTCTATACTCGTGATGGATGCGCAGACGGTACTTTATCGTTCTACCCTTCTACTTCTTTGTTCAATATCCATTTAATTCAAAAAATGGATTCTGTTTCTGCATGTCTGAATCTTTGAGGATTCTTATCTTCCAAGTTTTCTAATTGTACAATTATTAATAACTGAAAGAAATTCTTAGATATTAGACTTTTTTTAGCACTGCAAACCATATTTACATGAAATTAGATATTTTTGTAGGTATTAATATAAAAAGTAGTTTGCCTAGAATTTGTTAAAATCAATCAATCAATCAATCAATCAATCAATCAATCAATCAATCAATCAATCAATCAATCAATCAATCAATCAATCAATCAATCAATCAATCAATCAATCAATCAATCAATCAATCAATCAATCAATCAATCAATCAATCAATCAATCAATCAATCAATCAATCAATCAATCAATCAATCAATCAATCAATCAATCAATCAATCAATCAATCAATCAATCAATCAATCAATCAATCAATCAATCAATCCCAAAAGTGACATTGGTTAAATCTCATAGTTAAATCCTTGAAAACATGCACGTTTTATCAAAAACGTGTGAAAATTTCTTCTCCCTGTAAAACGCCCGTTTTAAAAACGTACATTCTTTTTAAAACGAATGTCGAAATAGCGAATAGCTCGTGCTCGTATTTTGCTAAAACGTATACGTTTTTTAGAAAACGATAGCCGAGGATAGGGCCGCTGGTAAGCCAAATGGAAAAATAGGAAGGTAATTTAGTACCACGCCAATTAACGGGATGGCGCTCGTATCGAAATGTCAGTTGTCAGCTCGTGCAAAACTTCAAAAAATTAAAATGGCTGTTGCGGTGTTGCATTTAAAACAATTTGTCCCGAAATTGCACTTAACACCTATGTGCGCTAAGCCAACGGCATGGCAAATTTTATCCACACTCAAATTCGCCTTCCCAGACAGCACACCAAATCCTTTGGATATCTACTGAACTTCCCAATATACACTGAATGTCCAGTCCATGGTGGATATCTATTTTATATCCATGAGCTGTAATTTATAGACATGCAAATGTCCATAAATAATAGTAATTATATAGCAAATTATTAAAAACTTACGAAATTGTGCTCGCCATTATGGCGGTGATGGGCATCCACTAAATATAACAAAGTCTAGGCGCGAATGCAAACCATCGTGAATATCCACTAGATGTAATTTTTGATTTTGCTTACTAAGTATAGATGGCGATACTACTTTCGCATCTACTCATGCTCAACCCGCCGTAATTGAGTTCGATCGAAATTTGTTTCACAATCCATTAGAGACTGAAGTCGAGAATTTCCATTTATTGCTGAAGAGTCCTAATAAGGATAACTTTCTCCTTAGTGGGCAAAATCAAAGGCAGAGTGTTGAAAATATTTTTTATCTCTGCTATTTTCTTTCGACTTTATTCAATAATCATTGGTTACTTATGAACCTCTACTAAAGATACCTATAAAGTATTTTGCTGAATATCCGAATTCTTCTATATTGTCACAATTATTCCTTAAATTGAATTAATTTATTTTCATTCGGCTCAGTAAATAATTTAACATCCTGTATGTTAAATTATTTCTGAATAGTAGGTCGATTTCGAAATACTTTTAAATCGTAAAAAATGCATTTCATAGTTTCATAACAATTAAGTTAAAAACTAATGAACTTTGTGCTGCTCGACGATTTTGGAAGTCTTGCGAAATCGAACCTAGTCGGTTCATTTTAGGGGGTCATTGAGAGTTTTGCGGGACGGCAAAAAAGGTGGTCGCAATCGATCACAGAGAAAATAATTGGGGTTTGTAAAATATATATAACATAAAAATATAATTATACAAAATAAATACTAATAAATATTTCTGGGGATAAAATAAAATAAAGTAAAGTAAAAATTGTGACTGCTCCATGACAATGAGGTAAGGACCCCACATTTTATTATTATTATTATTATTATATCGATTTTTGATTGTCTTTTGAGTCCTTTAATTACGGACATTTAATAAAGTGTTTGTGAATTTTTTATACATGGTGTTTCTATTATTACTAGTTTAGTTCCTTATACGGTAATTTAAGTCACCCGAGGTTTATCTTAAGTGGCGCAGATTCCTTCTAAACCAAGAAGTTAATCTGAGCTTTTTGAGATTAACATCGGCTAGAGCGCGCTTAGCGGAAGTGGGTGAGTGTCTATTTTTACCTCTCAGGCCAAGCGAGGACCCCTAATCCCATTAAAAAGAATAATTACCACCCCCTAACCCTTAAGCGTGACAATATCCTATATTGAATATATTTGATATCGACAGAATATATTCTGTGGATATCTCTGGGATTTCTTGTATTGTCTGGAAGATACTCATTAGATATTTTGCTGGATATCCATATGATATCTTCTATATTCTGGATAAAGACGGACATTTGGATATCCATATTAGATCCACGGAATTTTTCTGATATCCTGTGGATATATTGGATATCCACAAAAGATATTCTGTGGATATCTCTGGGATTTGGTGTGTTGTCTGGGTTGATAGTAAGTCACCCAAAAGATGACGCTTCATCTTCAATTTTTTTAAACTTATGTGTCACTCCATGTCGCAAAAAGGTCTTTAGTACTATACATGCTGATTTTGTTACAGAAAACATTTTTGATTGGTTTGTTGTATATTTAATTATTTAAATAGTGTAAATGCGTATTTGTCTCAGCATTTCCATGTTTAAATAGACAAATTATATGATACTGCGTTAATTTAGTGTAATAAAAAAAAAATTTAAATAAAACAAATTGCATTTTACTTCAAGTTTGAAATTAATGCAAAAATATAATGAAGTAAATAAAATTTAAATGTAAATTGGCAAAATATTTGACTAGTTTTAAATCATAAAACAGTCAATATGGTTGCTTTATGATTTGAAACTAGCCAAAATGAACCAATTAATTTTTTTGTTTGATTTTCTTCGTTACATTTTTGCACAGCTAGCAGAAAATTAAATTTCAAAAAGTCCCTCGCTGGCGGCCATATTGAATTTAATACATCGCCTCAGAATTTTACCATTGAGTTTCCCATATATTCACATATCACAAATCTATGGCTAAATAGGAATCTTGAATATTTACAATACAATACTAGTAACTGAAAAGACACCATTTTGTTTTTTAATTACTATTAGGCATTCTAAACAAAATGGCTACCAGTGGGATTTGACAGGTTAGGATATGGCAAAATCTTGGCAACCATGTAGGCCTGGTGATTTGACAAGATCAATGAAATAGATAGTTACATAGATTGATCATCCATATTTTTCAAAATATACATAAGCGTATCCCTTGAAGTAAAAATCTGATGTGTCCAACACATGACTTTCCTATCTAGTTATTATAGGCTTTTTTCGGTTATTTTGTACAACCTATTGCAGCATCTCTATAAATGTTTAGAGGATAAACTAAATATATACATTGGCCACATACATCTACCTCGAAACATTTTTCTATAGATATTCATTGAAAACGAAAATACTGAAAAATTTAAATTTAGACTTTTCCATTACGGTCCATTTTAGCAAAATCATGTATAAACAAAAATTATAGAGAACGATATCGCAAACAACTTTTATTTCAAAAACTTTCATAAAAATCAGAATTTTGCACATTTTGTCAAATTTCTCGAATACGGACCATTTCAGGAAATTTTTACATAAAACAAAAATTGTAGATAATAATATTAGAAGTAACTTTTATTTGAACAATTTTCTTCTCCAAACATAAATAACAGATATATTCCATAAAATATAAAAACGGCCTCCCATAAAGTACCCCCCCAGATGTTCCGACTTTGTCCAAAATCAAATCATTTCACGTCAGGCCGAAATAAACCTTAAGTTTAAAATTTAATGTTTTTTCCTTTATCCGTTTTTGAGTTTTCCTCAAATTTCGAAATTTACACATTTTCTCAAATATCTCGAATACGGTCCATTTTAGAGAAATTATGTATATAATAAAAATTATAGAGAATTATATTACAAACAACTTTTATTTGAACAATTTTTATAAAAAATTATTTTTTTTACATTTTGTCAAATTTCTCGAATACGGACCATTTTAGGAAAATTTTATATAGAACAAAAATTATAGATAATAATATTGTAAGTAACTTTTATTTGAAGAATTTTCTTCTCCAAACGTAAATAACGAATATATTCCATAAAATATAAAAATGACCACCTATAAAGTACCACCCAGATGTTCCGACTCTGCCCAAAATCTAATCAGCTCATTGGACGCTGAAACAAAGCTTAAGTTTAAAATTTGGTGTTTTTCTGTGTATCGGTTCATGAGTTATGCGTTATACAGACACACACACACACACACACACACACACACACACACACACACACACACACACACAGACACACACACACACACACACACACACACACACACACACACACACACACACACACACACACACACACACACACACACACACACAGACATCATCGCGAAAATAGTCAAAATGGATTCAGGGGACCTCAAAACGTAAAAATCCGTCAAAAACTCGAGGTCGAAAAAAATCATGATTCCTATACTTTCCTTATATCTGTATACAGATAGGAAAGTAAAAATGTAGATAATTATGTTTTTTTACTGTACTCAAAGTCTGAATATTGGTTTGTAAACACATTTTTACTTTCCTATCTGTATACAGATATAAGGAAAGTATAGGAATCATGATTTTTTTCGACCTCGAGTTTTCGACGGATTTTTACGTTTTGAGGTCCCCTGAATCCGTTTTGACTATTTTCGCGATGATGTCTGTGTGTCTGTGTGTGTGTGTGTGTGTGTGTGTGTCTGTGTGTGTGTGTGTGTGTGTGTGTGTGTGTGTGTGTGTGTGTGTGTGTGTGTGTGTGTGTGTGTGTGTGTGTATAACGGATAACTCATGAACCGATACACAGAAACACACCAAATTTTAAAATTAAGCTTTGTTTCAGCGTCCAATGAGCTGATTAGATTTTGGGCAGTGTCGGAACATCTGGGGGGGTACTTTATAGGTGGTCATTTTTATATTTTATGGAATATATCTGTTATTTACGTTTGGAGAAGAAAATTCTTCAAATAAAAGTTACTTCTAATATAATTATCTATAATTTTTGTTTTATGCAAAATTTTCCTAAAATGGTCCGTATTCGAGAAATTTGACAAAATGTAAAAAACATAATTTTTTATAAAAATTGTTCAAATAAAAGTTGTTTGTAATATAATTCTCTATAATTTTTGTCCTATACATAATTTCTCTAAAATGGACCGTATTCGAGATATTTGAGAAAATGTGTAAATTTCGAAATTTGAAGAAAACTCAAAAACGGATAAAGGAAAAAACATTAAATTTTAAACTTAAGGTTTATTTCGGCCTGACGTGAAATGATTAGATTTTGGACAAAGTCGGAACATCTGGGGGGGTACTTTATGGGAGGCCGTTTTTATATTTTATGGAATATATCTGTTATTTATGTTTGGAGAAGAAAATTGTTCAAATAAAAGTTACTTCTAATATTATTATCTATAATTTTTGTTCTATGTCAAAATTTCCTGAAATGGTCCGTATTCGAGAAATTTGACAAAATGGGCAAAATTCTGATTTTTATGAAAATTGTTGAACTAAAAGTTGTTTGCGATATCGATTTCTATAATTTTTGTTTATATATGATTTTTCTAAAATGGACCGTAATGGAAAAGTGCTAAATTTAAATTTTTCTGTATTTTCGTTTTCAATGAATATCTATAGAAAAATGTTTCGAGGTAGATGTATGTGGAAAATGTATATATTTAGGTTATCCTCTAAACATTTATAGAGATGCTGCAATAGGTTGTACAAAATAACTGGAAAATGCCTATAATAACTAGATAGGAAAGTCATGTGTTGGACACATCAGATTTTTACAAAATCGATTCTGATTAATGAGCACTTGCGAGACAATATGTATATATACGTATATGTATCATTTACTCTGTCAATGACAACAGGCTCACATGGTTGCCATACGTAAATGTCAGTTCCCACTTGTCAGCAGTTTGACAGGTCTTTGGAATGCCAATTGTATGAAAAAATTACATTATAACTCAAAATTAATGAGGTTTCAAAATAAGTAGAGAATTCTTTGTGAGTAAATGAAGAATGTAGATGGTAGAGAAATTGAGGAAAAAATCTTGAATTTTTGAACTTTTTTATTGATGTGTAAGTTCACATTAATTAGATACAGTGTCGGATTGGGACCTCCAGAGCCTATACTGATTCAGGAAGGAGAGGACCCATCTATCAATTCTTTTTTTTATGGTCCGATTCGTTGCCCAGACACATCGAGACTATTTTGCGATATGACAAATGGACGCACTTCAAGTGAAGGAAAAGTGTAATGAAAATGGCGACTTGTCTTACTTTTATTTGAATTTAATAATTTTATATTATAAGACTGACGTAAAGAAAATGATTTTATATCATTTAATGAAGCTATTTAAAATAAATGCCATTTATTCTGACCAAAACTAATTAGTTCCACTAGTACCAGTTTGATATATGACTTAAAAGTGTAAATAAGAAAGGTGCGTACACTTTAGCATCGTCATAGCATCTCCTGTTTATTCTATCTCAATGTCCAGATAGCACACATAATCCAATGGACGTCCACTTTAGATCCATTTAAGGGCCAGAACGTTCATATCCGTATTCTCACATCCAGTGTACCAACGTCACATAATTTGATTTTCTCTTAGAATACGCAGAATAGTCGCACTGCGCAGCTTTCTGAGTGCCTTTTAAAAGGAGATAGAATACTCCGCCATTTTGATGCCTTATTACGTGTTGCCTACATCTTGGCGCAATATTTTTAATAGGTGCGTTTTAATCATCCGCTTCTGCTTCGGAATTGTCGGTTTTCTTGTTTTAATCTGACAGGTTAAAACGGCTAAACCGACAATTCCAGAAGCAGAAGCGGATGATTAAAACGCACCTGATATTTTGCTTGCTGCTGTCAGTGTCAGTAAATATTATTTTTGGAGTCACAGTTTATTGATAAAGAATCAGTTAGCTCACTCGGACCAGTTGAAAGTTCCAAAATAACATCCACTCCAGGGATACAAATTCAGGATGCGCGGTTATCATATATTGTATAATCCGAGTTGCGCAGTGTATAAACTGGAACATTGAGATCAAAAGTGCCGACGCAGAGTGAGCGAACTGATTCTTTAGCTATAAATTGTGGTAAAGGCATCAAAATGGCCGCGCCCAATGTTGGGACCTCTCTCTTGCATTCGTATAGTGACCTACGTCCGTTAATGATCATTAATTTGACAGCTGCATATCGATACCCAGAGGACGTCTGTTTTGGTCCTAATTTTAAGTTTAGTAGTAGTTTGACGTCCAGTGGACGTCCATCTTAGGTTATTATTTTTTTAGCCTACAAGTAATACCCATCTATACACTTTTTTATATAGGTTATTAAAAAAATCATGATTCCTATACTTTCCTTATATCTGTATACAGATAGGAAAGTAAAAATTGATAAATTGATTCTATTGCATTTCATTCAATCAGCGGAAGTTTGAAATCTTATTCTATTATTGTTGTGTACTTATGGAATAAAACTACTTATTGCAAGGGTTACAAATATGTTACATTTTACATTGAACATGGCTTGTAACAGATTGCACGAAATGACGCTTCCTGTCCATAGTGTCCATTGCGCATACTCATGGTCAAACCTTTGTAGGTTGTGCTTACCTTTACACTCTGTCGTATACATATCTTTATGATCGAACAATTATAAACATATCTAGTAAAAAAAAATCAAGTGGCTTCTTATGGTCGAGATCGTCTAGCGGTTGAAAGTGTAGAACGATAATGGACGTGTCGTGAGTTCGATATCTGCTCATGTCAAAGTAGTGTGAGGCGAGTTGAGGTTGTTTAAAAAAAGTGGGGATGGTCTCAGTGGAATTTAATCCAGGAATGAACGTTTTTTGAATGTCCAGTAATAAACGTCCAAATATAATCCAGATTTGGACTTCCTCCGAATGGTCAAAAGTGTGCCATTTGTATACTTCACTTGACGTTCATTGGGTGTCGGAAGTCCAGAAAAAATTTATTTTTGGACGTCTAGACATTCAAAATTGTATATCGAATGGAAGTCCAATGGATATGTTTGGGCTGTCTAGGTATTAGTCCTGACGTCACAAACGCTACACTTACTGAACAAATATTTGGAGAATTAACTCCCCTTTTCTCTCTAATGTACAATGCGAACGACATTTACCATTCAGTTCCACACACGCAAACAGGACCCAAAGATTACCGTTTGATTTTGCCAGCACAGCACTGCATGAATGAAATAAAACACAGAACAAATTATAAAAAATATATTTGGAAAAGTATAAAAAGGTAATACTTGTTATCATCAGTTCTATACATTTTTGGATTCTGTATATATTGCACATATGTATATTATTTGCTTAATGTTATTCTGTAGATTATTAGCTATAAAGTTTCCGAATAGAAACTGTTTGGTTTTGGTAGATTTTACTTTCCCACTAGTTAATATCTAATAAATACAGAGTGGCCCATTATTATGTCTTATGATAACAACAAAAGTTGAAAATAATAGAGAGCGAATTGACATTATAATATTGTTTAAATAGGACATTTTGTATATTTTTACAATTTAAAATTTTCCTTAATTTCTCTCTTCAAAAACATATCACAGACTAGGTCTAAAGGAAATAGTTCGAGAGGCACTTTTTAGTGAGAAAGTAATTTATTAAAGTCTTCTGAAATATAATTTTTGTCATTATTATCCCTTAAATAACACTGAAATGCAATTCGCGATGGAATGTTTTTTTGTACTTTTTAAATAAAATCAAGTTTGGTATAATGTAACCCAAAGTCATTGATTTATATATACAGGGTTGGACAAAATAGGCAGGACACCAAATTTCTGGCTGTATCAAAGGCGGCTCCAGACAGAATTTTCGGGGGGCATTGCCACTAACAATTCCCTTTTTAGCATATGTTTTTAATAAACGACTAATATATTGTAAGATTTTTAACATCGGGGAGGGGACATAGCCCCCTCGGCGACCGCACAGAGCTGCCCTTGGGCTATTATATGGGACAAGTAACAAAAATGCTCGTACAGTTATCGATTTTGTTTTTAGCTGCGCCTTTTTGATAGGTATACGTATATTTTTTCGAACGTCATCGATATTCAGTATATTATGTTAGGACCTTTTTTTTGAATGGCAACCCCTTTTTTGTACCAGTCAGTAGATATATAATACAAAATTTAAAGTGTGTATACAGAAAAATGTGCCTCTATATGTCAGATTTCATTCTATATGATTTTTTAGTATATTTTTATTAATGTTAAATTACATTTTGTATTAATTTTGTTTTTCGAAAATATTGTTATGTGACATACCAAGAAATGTGTCATTCATACGCAAAAAAATGTGTTGATATATTGAATAATGATAACCTCATCAAAATATACGGTTTTAAAAATCTAAATCGACCGTTCCTTTAATTTTTTTGTTACTTGTCGAACAAAGCCAGACATTTGGTGTTGCGTCCATTTAGCAGCCCAACCCCGTATACTTAAAAAGAAAGTACATTTTTTATTAATTAAAAAAGATTTTAAAATCTATTACATTTCTGTTTTTAAGGGAGATAGAATGTAATGAAAAGTCTTTGGGTTTCCATTGTGCTATAACCACAATTAATCTATTCTTTGCTGTATTTCTTCTGTATCTTTCCATCTTCTATTAGTTCTAGATCTTGACCATAATGAATTTTAATATCCAGTAGGTATTATTGTACAGGAGAGTAAATTTTATCATTCTCCATATCCTTCGATATTTAAAGTTTTATAATTAAAATAACTTATAAACTTTATTTGTTGCATTCGATTTGCAACAAATAATTAACGTTCGTAAAAATATTTGTTTTTAACATTTTTTCCTAATTACGCTTTACTAGGCGATTGTACCATATTTTTTAAAAAAGAAATAGTCATGTGACTTCTACTTGGTTCGGGTTGAGTCTGTTGCGAGTCTAAATTACTGTTGTATTTGCACTTTAACGTGTCCATATACGCCACCCTGTATTGTTTGTTCATTGTTACATACACAACCGGGTTTACACAACTAGATAGATAAATAAGTAAATAACCTAATACATGCAGCGGTGCATGCTCAACTTCTGAATCGAAAATTTTGACTAGCGTAATAGGTAAATAACATACGATGAAACAAATAAATATTACTAATACCATTTTGGTTATCTTCATCTCGCTTCTTTTATATTTGTTTCCCATAGATGTATGCTTTTGCATTTTCATGTGGGACTTACGAACTACGAAATATATACATGCGTAACAAATAACAATGACAACACAGGGAAGAGCAAAACCTATCACGAACAGAGCAGTTTTTGAACTGTGGCCGTTTTTGTCTGGATTGATGGAGCAAGTTCCAAGCTTAGCATCTTTCCCGTACGTTCCCCATACTCCAAATAACGTAGGTATTTGTAAACCATAACTAAATATCCATATAATACCAATGTAAATCACAACTTTTGTTTTCGTATATATGGACTGATAGAGATGAGGCCAGGCGATGAGTATGTATCTGTTCACCGATATGGAACCGATGCTTAATAGTGAAACGCCGACACAACCATATCTTAGTATCGGTATCATTTTGCACAATGTTTCTCCATGGATCCATTCTCCGTGGAAGAATTGACTAGCGGCAAATGGTAACGCCAGGAAACAGAAAATCAAATCCGAAATGCATAAACTGAAATGAAAAAAATCATAAATTAGCTTTAAATTATTTTTAAAGTGCAATTTTTGAAATATGAATGAATATGAACAAACCAAAGAAATATTGAAAAAGCTGGGAATTAAAGAAAAGAAAATATAAGTGCATCGACCAGGAATCGAAACCTGAAACCTTTGCACTGTGGCCGTTCATTCTCTTAATAGTTAAGCTATTGAGGGACATCCTAACTGGCAGATTTGAAGTTAAGTGGTTACACGTAAATAATTTGTTTTCATTATTAATTATTGTTTTTGCTTCCTCGCGGTATGAAGTCTAGTGCTGGCCATATAGAGACAAACGCACCGCTTCGAGAAGCTATCGGAGAGGCAGTTCCCGATCGTTCTGGAGAGCCAAGAGTGTTCTGGTATAGAGTTGGCTTCAAATAAATAGTGCGAGTTTGTTTACGGGCGATACGATAAGAAGTGAGGTTAGATAAACGGGGTGAAGTTAATTACCTCTGATTTTGATAGCCTTTAAAACAAAAAAGAAGAATCGCCAGATGGATCTACTTAACTTCTTCCTAGTAAAACCTTGTTAAATTTCGGACGAACATAACTTACTGTAAAAGAGTTTTGAAATGTATGAAAAGTTTAATTATGGATGGCTTAACTTTAAAATCGATGGAATTCAAAAACCACCTTTTATGTGTACCCATCAGGGCCGACTAGAAGGGGGGGGGGCAGCCGGGACTAAATCCCGGGGCCCGAGCTCAAATGGGGACCCGGCAGCGGTATAAGGGGGGCCCGGCAGCGGTGGTAAGGATTTTTGTGTGTCTTTCAGAAGTTCAACACAAGAGGGGGGAAATTCTTGTGAAGACCTTTTTTTTAGAGAAATTCAAGTACAGGAGGAGACATTTTTACTTGAAGACTTTTTTTTAGAGAAATTCAAGAGTATAGGAGGAGAAATTTTTGTTTGAAGACCTTTGTTTTTTTATTTTTTATAAAACTGTCACGGGGCGCGATCTGAAGAATTGTCCTAGGCCCGGTCTGGCTCTCGGCGGCCCTGGTACCCATTGGCGCCGGAGGGGGCTGAGTCCCCCATATTACTAAGGTAGACCCAATTTGGGCATTAGACTTTAAGTTCACTCCACTCTAGCAAGGTTCAAGCGGGGGGCAACAAAAAAATTTATTCTGTCGCCAAAGTTTTGGGGTGCTATTTAGGTAGGACGACTAAGAATATTCGGGGGGTAATAAATGTGTATTTTCCAAATATATAAAAAGCCACAACGTCCTGCAACTTCCCAATATATTAGCCGTTGGGTAATATATATTTTGTGGTTTTATTACTCTTTATTTATTTATTTGTGATATATCTGTAAACCAGTAATGGAATCCTTTTTGAGACAAATTGTGGAACGAAAACAAATTCAGGCAACACTTATTTTCGTCGAGTTGTATGGTAGGTTATCTATCTATTAGCTAAATTAGAGAACAAGCAGTTCAATAAATCAGCTTAATTGGAAATTTAAACTTTGACATAATAATAAGTACGAAACCAATTAACATTTAAAAGATCTTATGGAATCATACGAAAATCGACATGTAGATATTTATTTAAAGCCACAGAAAACAAAGTTTCTCGCTGGTGACAATGATGAATGTAAAAAATTACCTCGCTATAAAGGCAGCTGCAACAGTCCGAAGTTTGGGATGCCTTATTAAGGCTCCTATTGTCAATAGGTTACCCATTATTCCTACTACCATTATAATTAAAGTAAAAACCCCTGCTGCTGTCAACATTGAGTGTGAGTATCTGAAAAAGAAACAACTGATAAATTATTCAGTTTATCTAAAATATCAGGGTACCTAATTTATAAATTATCGGAAATTAAGGAATATTTTTTAGGTAGGTAACGAGTAAAAATAAAATACAAACAAAATAATTTATTATTATTTAATATCATCTATAATGCAATAATTAAATTATTAACAAAATACTTGTAATTTAAAAAAAAAGTAATTTTTTATAATTTATCAATGTGAATCGGTATTTATTTCAAAGGAAATGAAGAAAATTTTATACCTTTATTTTGTAGCCGATCAAATGCTGTTATTTTTAAAACATTTCTATGATAAATAGAAACATTTCTGGAAATTTTTCTCTTGGTGGTTACCTTGAACGAAATTACACTGGCTTTTTTTTGACACTTGAGAAGCTCCTTCATGCACATGAGAGTACGACTCGAGGTGATGGTGTGATTAAAAATTTGCCATTTAATACCAATTATAACTAGATATAAATACACTACATATTTTAAGTAAAATAACAATTAAATTTTTCGCGTCACTAATAAGAAAAGTGTCTAACTCCATTGTTTTGCTAAAATGTGATTTTGCTACCACCTATTAGAATAACGTCTAAGCCACCTTCTGACAAAACTTCAGAGTAACCAGTTAATTTTAAATTTAAATAAGAGAAATTTTGCATATCCCGACTTGATAATTTCCAAAAAGAAATGTTGTGGGAATGATTTTTTGGTATTGCATTCAAAGTTATACGAGTATGTATTAGATGTGAAGAAGAACACGTAATAATGAAATAATGTAGTTGTTAAAAAATAACGGTTTTTCTTCTCTCCTGTAAAATTTTTCAAAACGGAGATAGGTATTTTTCTTATTATATGACAAATATGTATAGTCGGTATGGCCAACTTTCAAATTTGATTTTAGCCGTTTTAATGCGCATGTCTGGCAACTTTTGAAGTTTTGATATTTCGGTCATGATACACATACTAATGGTATGCTAACTTTCGATTCAAAATTCGTCCAAACCGCGCATAACGTAATGCGGGACGAACTTTCTAGTTGTTTTGACACTTTTCGATTGAATAGTTTAAAATAATTTATTAATTTATTTGGTTTTGTGTTAGTAGTGACTATATTTGACGGTCTGCGCGGTGGAGATATTTTCGAATGCCACAAAATATGGGTAAACTCTTATCGAAGAAAGGACAAACTTAATTGCCCCCTATCCACTTTGGGGAAAGTAGTTGTGAGATTCTTCTTAAACATAGACGCAAAAAAAGAAAACTGAATTTCACCAGGTGCACGGGCCTCATTAAGTAAAGAAAATAAATCGGTATTTTAAAATTTTAGCAGATAAAACAGTAGTTTCCTGTCCCAATATAACGGTTCTTTTGAAGTAATGCCATGCATGAGCAGGACACGAACACATATCTTGGGGTCTATTCTGTAACAATTCCTTTATATTTAACGACCTTTAAAATATTGGCGAGCTTTAAAAATATTTTCCTACGACCACTTAGGAAAGTGACACATATCACACTATATAGACCTATGGAAAGTGCCCTATATCACACGCGTATGAATAAGAATTTACTTTCCACCCAAGTGAGAATATGCTACTTTCCGCAGTAGCTGTCAGAAAATGTCAAACACATAATTTCTATTTTGATCTATGTAATGTCCATATTAATACTAAAATCGATATGATTGTTAAATTATTGTAAATTAGATCCTAGATATTTATCTTTAACAATTATTTTTAAAATAATTTTAAAATAACTAAGATATATTTGCTTTTTATTCTGGTTAAACACATAAGCGATTAGATCAATCAATTACCGTAAGGCCTGTTAGCTCAGTTGGTTAGAGCATCAACTTTGCAATTTGAGACCGTCCAACGACCGCGATCGAATCCTGGCTGTGCCAGAACTTTTTTTTAATTTTTTTTTTATTTTTTTTTATTTGTTTAGAAATTATGAAAATTTAATAAATACGATTATTGTTGATTATTTTTTTAAATACATTTTAATTATTATAATAATCTGGTTTTACATTTTTTGATGAAATTATTTTGTGGTCGTAGGAAAAATATTGTACATCACTTGTGTGAAAAGTGATTTTCCACACTCGTGTGATAGTCGCACTCGGCTTACGCCTCGTGCGACAATATTTCCCACTCGTGTGAAAAATGTCACTTTCCACACTCGTAATGTAATATACTATTTCGTATTCGTTAATTTACTTCTGTCATTATTTAAACAGATTTCTTTAAGATAGTCCTCTAATGTATTTTAAAGATCCGTTTAAATAATGACAGAAATAAAGAAGAAAATATTTTTAAAGGACGTTAAATATAAAGGAATTGTTACAGAATAGAACCCATAAATTAACAGAAAAATTGGTTTTGAGTATTTTCGAAGTAAACTTGACAAAAATTTTTTAAATTTACCAAATAAAAAGTATTTTTTTTGTGTATTTACTTTTTATAGATAAATAACTTATTTCTTCACCCTTATTTTTATTTCACATAATAAGAAAAGAGATTGGAAGATTGGAAGAGAAAGTACAAATTTGAGTCAAACTTGTATATATTTTTTACTTATCTTGTGGCCAGGTTATGGATTTTGTCACAAAATACCTATAATTTATGAGAAAAATTACCGTTAGGCTGTGTATCGTGATTTCGGTGTAAAATTTTCTTAACGATTACCACACGTGTCTAAATTATTGTTTGGAAATGTTTGCTCTTTGTAAGCGCACATATGAGGGATGCAAATCGTCAGATGGCTAGACAGACCACTGCTTAAGGGGGTGTCAGACGCCTTGAAATTTTGAATTTTCTTGTTGAATTATTTTCTGTTAGCTCTATCTGACGTTTTAACAAATTATCTTAGAGACATACCTTTATAAACACATATTATAATCGTCAGCCGGAAAGACTGCCGCAAAATTCCCATGCATTACCGCAAACTTTTGGTCCGCCCGCTCGTAATTCGGTCTGGGCGCGGCTTCATATCAGACTATTGAAAATTAAATTATATTAAAAAATTTTATGGTTTATTTAAAAAATAATAAAAGTCAATACAAGTTTAAAACCATTTACCATTCCGTTTTTATATTTTGTTAAGATAAAAGGCTCATGGGTTTTTTTAAGACTTCACCTCGTCCTACCTTAAGATCAGAAAGTGGAGTTTTTTGGTGTAACTGCACTAAATAAACTCTTTCCCATGCGCTAAGTTAAACGGAAAAATATAAAAAATGGAAATAAAGCACAAAATCAATACCACAGCATATAATTTATTAATCAATATGCCATTCGGTAACGCAAGACCGAGGCAAGCGACCGTATAAGAAGACCAAAATGTGTCTCTACGTCTGAGCACATGTAATTACATTTTTTTTTTGCGAAAAAACATTACAAAATGGGCATTTATTAATATTATAATATGATTAAAAATTGATCAATAAGTAATTTTGTTTTAACCTAACTTAACTAGGATTGCAATATTAAAAACTAAAGTTCTACTCGCTAGAATACCTTAGGGTCTGATAACTTAATTGCACTAAACTAATGTGTAACACTAAACCGCACTAATGCTTTGCTTTGTTATGCATTGTGCGGTTTAGTGTTACATGAAAAAAATTTGGGACACCGCGACTGATGCAAGAGAAGCGACAGCACTTTTAACACTGCTGTATTTGCTGACTGTCACAATGTCGTCTGCCTCGGTCTCGCTTTTCAAAATGTTATCTTAAGTGTCGCGACTAGTTTCGGCCTACATGAATGACAACCTTCAGAGGTGCAATACAAATAACGATTATAATAAAATTAATAGTGATAGTAATAATTAATAGAAATAGACACTTAAAATTAATCTAGTTAAATCTTAGAATCTATATCTATGTGTAGAAATCGGTAAGTTAGTGGTGTGATAATAATTAAATATTATAAAACGTTAAATTATTTTAAAGAAAAAATTGTGTATTTAAGAAATAAAATAAGAAAGTGTGCCCAACTATTTGTATTTCTACCTTTCACTATTAACTTTATTATCATCCTTGTTATTTGTATTGTAGTCTTGAAGATAGTAGGCCGAAATCAGTCGCGACATTTAGATATTTTTCCGTTTAACTTGACGCAGTGGAAAGAGTTTATTAGGTGCAGTCGCACCAAAAAATCAACTTTCTGATCTCAAACATGTTATGTAAACATATTTTCCACTGGAAGCTCACGGTATTGCAGGAAGAATTTGCAACGGCCTGTTTGCCTGATGATTATAATAATAATATGTTTTGTCAAATTTCTCGAATACGGACCATTTCAGGAAAATTTGGCATGAAGCAAGAATTATAGATAATAATATTAGAAGTAACTTTTATTTGAACAATTTTCTTCTCCAAACATAAATAACAGATATATTCCATAAAATATAAAAACGGCCTCCCATAAAGTACCCCCAGATGTTCCGACTTTGTCCAAAATCTAATCATTTCACATAAGGCCGAAATAAAACTTAAGTTTAAAATTTAATGTTTTTTTTATTCGTTTTTGAGTTTTCTTCAAAATTCGAAATTTACACATTTTCTCAAATATCTCGAATACGGTTCATTTTAGAGAAATTATGTATGGAATAAAAATTATAGAGAATTATCTTACAAACAACTTTTATTTAAACAATTTTTATAAAAAATTATTTTTTTTACATTTTGTCAAATTTCTCGAATACGGACCATTTTAGGAAAATTTTGTATGAAACAAAAATTATAGACAATAATAATAGAAGTAACTTTTATTTGAACAATTTTCTTCTCCAAACATAAATAACAGATATATTCCATAAAATATAAAAACGGTCTCCCATAAAGTACCCCCTCAGATGTTCCGACTTTATCCAAAATCTAACCATCTCACCTGAGTCCGAAATAAATTAAGTTTAAAATTTATTGTTTTTTCCGTTATCCGTTTTTGAGTTTTCTTCAAAATTCGAAGTTTACCCTTTCCCTCAA